TAAATTATTATATTATGAAACAAACAATGAATTGCAGGTTTGTCATCTTTGCTTGCAATGGTCCTCAACAGTGATTGGCACAATTACTGTGCATCATTGCTCATTTCCTAAAATGTGATTGATTTATTTTGTTCAAATGACCTTGGTAATAGGAGTGGCAAAATTTAAAACAATCACACAGCTCTTTTAGGACAACAAGACAAATACTTACAGTACAAATAAAATTTGAGGCTGTGTTAGTAACTGTTGTTGTGCCTGAAGAAGAAGATGCTCTAAGATACTTCACATTCAAGGTCCACATCAATGCATAATCAGCATTGAACAAGAAAACCAGAAGAAATGAAGAAGCTTGTGCAAGATAAACCACCTAAAAATCAGTTGGATATTTTTTTCAGATAATGCAATCCTAGTTTCGTGACACTACTCATATAACTTTAACTAGTAACACTCGTAACACACTTAGAACACCTATTGGGTTTAGCCTTTTACACCCAAGCATTCGTATTCACCATCCCCATAATCACGAAATATGTTTTTCACAGTGCAGTTTCTCCACGAGACATCGAAGATATGTTACATCACGTAATTTAAAGTTCATATCGAGTGAAAATGGTAAAACTATATGGACTAAGCCTGTAGGGGACGGACTTTTACTCTTAAAGCTAGCAAAGCGTACAGCACACACCTTCTTGAGTATTTCTGTTTTTCCAAACCATTACGGCCTCTTCTGTTGGAAGAATGATCGTGATCCATGACACTAGATACTCCCTTCGAAGCGAAGATTACATTTCCGGTTTAAAAGCAATGGAAAGCATTGTTTCATGGAAATATCATCATAGCATCACGATTAAGCGCGCTAAATCGTCAGAGAAGTCTATCAGCCGTAATGTTTACCGTTTCTCAGAAAAGAAGGAAGGGTTCTAAGGAGCCGTCACTGTTGCAGAACGTGATGTGATTGGCCAATTTCAACATAGGCGTCTGGAAAGGGTCTGCTGGATTGATTAGAATGGAAGGGATTACCTCGATGGATTGACGGAATATTGGAAAAATAAAAACACTTAAACGAAACACAAAGTGTACAAATCGCGCAATATGTGAAGAAATATTTCTCGATTACGTCTTCATTAGACATACGAGTATCATTTTTTTTTTCACCGGACAGAAACCATATCATAATTGTTATTGGACTGTTTTGTGGGACGAGAATGAGCAGTCTATCAAAGCAGCCGCCAAGTTGAATAAATATAGTATTTCTATTGGTTTTGTTTGATATTGAAAAATTAATATCTCGTAAGCGATTCCAGTGAAGTAGCTTGTGGCCCTAG